TTTCAAATCTTATATGCAAAGATTTGATGATAGATTTGATTCAATAGAATGCTCATTCTGCAATACAAATGAAAATCCTGAGTATATTGTAATACACTGTGCATTATACAATAGTCTCAGAGTCAGATTGAAAGAGAAGTATAATCTAAATCAATTAAATATAAGATTCTTATTCTCAACTGAGACAGGAATTAAATACTTAATAGACTTTCTATCAGAAACTTCAGCAGCTATAAGAAAATGGCTAAATTCAGAAATATCTGAATATGAAGAGAAGGAAATTAATCAGATATAGTCTGTTAAAACAGCTATACACTATCTTTTAATACTTTGTTTTATTATAGTCTCTCTTTACTTTTTCTTTTCTATTCTTTTCTGTTCACTTATTTAATATGTCTATCTTTAAGACTTTATTCTCTTTTTCTTTGTCATGATATTTTCAAATAGTTTCAAAGTATCAGAAGGTGTTAAAATACTGCAATTTATAAAGAGTATTTATATTCTGAGCTCGAACTTTCTGATTTTACATATCTGAAATTGATAAATGTATAATAGTTGACTTTATAGACATTGAAAAAACCCTGAGAACTAAAAGTTCTCAGATAGATGTTATAGTCTCTGACTTCATACATCTATAATTGAAGAATAATAATAATAATAATAATAGAGAAGAATATTTTCTTTTCACATTTTATTAAACAAGATTTTCACTTGAGTTTTGTTTCAAATTTTGAATAATGTATACTCTTCTTCTAATTCTGTCAGTTTTCATTTCACTTATTTAAACAAGATTTTTTTCACTTTCTCTTTATAAAACATTAGAATACTGTTTTTTGAAGAGATCTGTTTAATTCTGAATTTCTTTTTACAGCTACATCAGTCATTTCATTGCTATGAATATTCATATAAGTAAGAACTCAGTGTAGATAAATTATCATTTTTAATATTCTTCTTTTTTTAATTTTTATCACAGAAATTAAAATCAGTTCAAGGTTAATTTGAGTACTATAAATCTGACTCTTACTTAGTCTTGTTAAAGTAGTTTTTTTATCAGAGAATATTTATACTTCTTTTCAACTAGTTTCTCTTTTATAAGATTTTATTTTAATAAGTGTCAAAGCTTTCACTATTGTAAATAATTCAGTATTAAAAACTTCAGATTCACTTTCTAAATTACATTATTATTATTATTATTATTATTCAATTATAGATGTATACAGTCAGAGACTATGATTTCTACCTGAGAACCTTTAGTTCTCAGAGTTTTTCCTATATCTATAGAGTCAACTATTATACACTTATCAATTTCAGATATACAAAATCAGAAAATTCCAGCTCAGAATATAAAAACTGTTTATAAATTACAGTATTTTAACATCTGCTGATACTTTGAAATCATTTGAAAATATCATAACAAAGGAAAAGAGAACAGAACATAGTCTTAAAGATAGACACATTAAATAGATAGATAGAAAAGAACAGAAAGAAATAAGTACAGTAAAAAGAGCTATAGAACAAGATCTCTGCAGTTTACATCTTAAGCTATATACATATTTTAACACTCTATATAACTGATCACTGTCTTCATTCTCTCAGACTCACTTCAGAGATTATTATTCTCTCTAAAGAGCTGTCACTCAGCTAGCTCCTGTAACTAGCTTATTTATAAGTGAGATTCTCACTAAGAATAACATCAGAGCTACTCAATTCTAGTTAAATCTCTAATCTTTCAGCTATTAATCTCAGTATTTCAGTCTATTAATTGACTGTCACAGTCTTGCTTACACTAATCATCTATTAAAAGTGTCTAGATCTTGTCTCATCTAGATTCTTACTAGACTCAGAGTCTTCTAATCAGATAGTTTTTAAATCTTATTTCTCAGAAGTGAGTGTCTAGAGTGAAAGAGATGAGATCTGATCAGTTAAGCTTGATAATAATTCACTATTCTGTAGACACTCTAGATCTCAATCACTCTAGTACTGATCTAACTTGAAGTGCCTGAGAAACTGTTAATTCTAAGATCAGTGAGAATTAGCACTCAGGAATTCCAGAATGAATATTTTAAGCTTAATAATAATTCACTATAGTGCACCTGAGGATCTCTGATACTGTTTTATAACTTAACAGTGAAAGCTGTGATTAAGATGACTCTCACAGAGTTTGAACCTGCCCTCTCTTAACATTCATTCCCTGAAGAGAAGGCCGCTAATTGAGGCTTCATGATAGTGTAGTTAACTACTACGCCACCGGGCCTTCTAAATTACATGAATCTGAGATAAAATTAATATTATCTTCAGTATAAGTAATATCTGCATTTAATTTATTTAAATTCTCACTTTTTAAGATATCTGAATAAATCAAAATTGAGTTTTATATATTAATTACAGTTATTCTTTTTAAATACTGTTTATATTCTCTCTTTTTAAATACTTTACTGATTTGTAAGTCTATGCGAGATTTCAGCTTTTCTTTTCAGAGAGATATTTTCTCATGATCAATTTTCTCAATATTTAGTAAAGAAAATTGATTTTTAATCAATAAATATAGTTTATATAGTTGAGAGAGTATTTTCTTTGAAGAATTGCTTTCATTTTAATCAAGAAATATATTGCAATTCAGTTCATTTTCACAGTTGATTACAGAAAATAAAGAAGAAACTCTTTCTCTGATTATATAATCTAAACTTATTTTTATATCTCTCAAAGTATAGTTTATACAGGCTTTCTCACATCTTATAGTAGATGAAGAAATTGAAGCTTCAACTTCTATTGTTTTAATAGAAGATGATTTAAATATTTCTAGAATTGTTTGTAAAACTCTATTTTACAGACTTTGAAACAGTTCAGTGAAATTCCTTTTATTATTCTACTAAATTTAAACTTTATAATTCACTACTGAGATGATACAGATTATATATAATTTTTTAATAGCTTGAAAGAATAAATCTTTTGCTGTATTTAATAGTTTAATTTCATTATTCAGTAATCTTTCTGCTTTGATAATTCTTTGTTAAATATAATATTTAAAATTTAACTTGAAGTTTAACTATACTTTCAGTCATTTGATATTTAAACTGAGTTTAATTCCTTCATTTAAAAGTGTTAAACTTCGTTTTTTCTCATTGAATCTGAGAAAAACATGAATTAACTCAGTTTTATCTATAGTAAATTGAATATAATTAATATCTGCTTTAATAAAAATTTTCTTTACTGCATTTTCAATCACTTCTAACTCTTTTTTAATTGTTGTTAAACTGTAAACTTGATTAATATTATCTATATAGCTTGAAAATCTTATTATTTTCATCTCTTTATTCTGGCATAAATACACAGTGTATATTGCAAATAAAACAGATGAGATTGAAGATTTTTGAGATACTTCTACTTTTATCTCAGTTTTATCTTATTTCATTTCATCAAAAAATAATTGTATAATTCTTTTAAATATAAAATAATTTATTTATTTTATTAAAAAACTGATAATTTTCATATTTTTAAAGTATGAATTATTTTTGACTTTGAAACATGATCAAATGCATTTTTTATATTTGTAAAAACTGCAGTTGAGATCAGATCTTCATTCTTTGTTATTTAAATATTATAAACAATTGAAACAAAAGTGTTAATTACAGAATACTGTTTTTTACTTTCTATTTATTTATTATACAGAAGAGAATCATTAATAGAGCTTATAAAAGATAATTTAATATCTATTATTTTTTTAAAAAATCTTTCTCAGACAGTTAAATAGAGATATTACTCTATATAACTTAGAGATTGAAGCTTTTCTATTTAATTTTATAAGAATCTCTTTTCAGTGGCTTCACTTCAGCATTGAGAATGATATTTATTTTTCAAGAGATTAAAAAAGAATTCAAAACATTCATTCTTCAAGTATGAATATGTATTTTGAATAATTGAATAATTGATTGAATCAGAACCTGTAGCAGTTTTAATTAAACTTGAGAAAATAGCTGACTTCAATTATGTTGTATAAGCTCAGATCATTCTCAGTCATTCTCATTAATATATTCATTGAATAAAATGTTCTTTCTTTCTGAATCTGATAAATTTTAAAAGAGAATTCTTATAAATGCTTGATATTTTTCTTCAAAAGATTTTGCTGTATATAATTCATTCTGAAATTCATATTTTAGAGTTAAAAGTTCTGCTACATTTCTTGTTTTAATATTATTAAAGACTTTAACAACTTCTTTTTCTTATACTTTTTCAAGAAACTTGTTTGAACACTTTGTTTTAGTGTTTTTGAGATTCAAAGGTTGCTCGAGTCAGCATATAATTACAGGCATACGCCGGCTTCTTATATATATTATACTAAATTAATTAGTGACTGCTATGACCTCTTTACATTTGTAAGCATGTTCAGAAGCAGCTGTGTTATTATTTAGTGATTATACATTCTTCTAAATTACATTCTCTCTCATCAGATTCAGTCACACTTATATAATCATAATATACACTCTAGCTTCATGCAGATTAGTGTGTTACTAGTGTTTATAATTACATAGTCTATCTCTGATTCAGCTAGCATTCTGCATACACTCTCACAAAGAAACTTTCACTATATTACATCACTTATTCACTAACTTTTTTCATTCTTCAATTATCTTCTTTATTATCATCATTATTAAACATTATTAGCTTATTTAATATTTCTATCTCTTCTTTTATTTAACATCTTTTATTTATCTATCTATTATATTATATATGTTTCTGATGATAACTCTCTGTTTCTACAACAAGTGTTACTGTAGTACTTATATCAGACAGTTCATTAACAGTAAGTGTAATACATTGTAGAATATGATCAGAACTTGTTTATCTTCTAACAATTATCAGAATATACTATTATAAATGACATATCTTCTTTATCTTATACATTCTTAACTTTCTTTTTTCAGTAAGCATCTGATCATGTTTCCTGGCACAATTTTCCTTTATAAATGCAGATACTGATATGTTTGTTTTTATTTATATAGAATCTTCATATATTGACAGATTCATGTCTGTTAATGATTGTGAACTCAATGTTGAATTGTTGATTAAGAACTTGAAGAATGTGATAATAAAGAAATTATCTGTGATATATATAACTGAGTCTTCTGTGTCTATCTCTTTCTCTTCTACTGCTTCTTCTAAATCTTCTACACTTGCCCCTGTGTTCTGTTCTCCTGCTCCCGCAACCCCGGGTTCTGCTACTCTCACTTCTGCTACTTGTGTCTCTGCTATCTCTGCCACTGCTTCTGCTTTTATTATCAACTCTCCCTGTTTCAAGAAGATGGTGTATAGGCTTGATAAATCACATTTATCAGTATGTATACTTTCATTCTTTTTATCAACTTCTAGAATAATTTATTGCATGAAGATGATGTATAATATGACTATCTGAAGCTCAGTTGCAGATGCTGATTATTTCATTTATTTTAAGTATTTATAATGAGATAATTATTTATTTATACTGAAAAATCATCTCTCTTCTCAACAGTGTTAAGATTATAAGTCATTTCTTTTTTCATCTTTTCTTTCTGACACTGATTTTCTGTTCTTAGAGAAAATCATTATAAGTTTTATTAT